ACACACACACACACACACACACACACACACACACACACACATACACAACGCAGCGCTCATTGTCTGCCTCAATCTGCACCTGTTTTTTTTACACCGGGCAAAAAATGCATTTAAACCAGCTGTTAACATTAGATCACAGTTTGAAATGTACACCTAACAAAACCTGCATCACGACTTTTATACCGCAGTCAGAGCAAACGTGATCTGAGCAGCGTCTGCCTAGTTCACATGTTTACGTGGACGGCGGCGCTTTACTTGCTCGTAACAGTGAGAAAAGACAGAGAGCTTTTTATTTTAATCCAGCAGGGAGAACAACACAGGTGTTCTTCTATGCCTCCTGTGAGCAATTCCAGCATTTTTTTAAAAGAAAAGCAACACGGACATTCTAATTACAGTGTGGTTTCAAAGCGAAAGTAAAAAACATGGCGGCGCTCCCGTCCGCGAAAGTAAAACTTAAAACACAGCTGTTCTGTCTACCACTCATAGTCCGACACAGAGGGCAGAAACAGCTAAATTAGACAGTTAAAACACATTAAATGTTCATAACTCACCCTTATTGTTGTTAGCACTCTGTCTCACAACATTAGCAGCCGCTCTCTCCCCGAGGGAGGGGCGGCAACATGCCCTCGCGTGACCCAAAGAATGGATCGGCCGAACGGACGGACGTATCGRCCGATACCGATATAAGATAAAAATGCAAATATCGGCCAAAAATATCGGCYGGCCGATGTATCGGGTGACCCCTACTTGAGGCCTTCTCTTGGTGGTCCTGGGGGAGTATTGGGTACCAGAGTTATTTTTGCAGGATGCTGATGCTTGTGTAAACAAAGTAGGAGCTGTGTCCACATTCTGAGCTTATTCTCAGTGCAGATTGAACTCCGCCAGGACTGTCCGTTGAATTTAATCCTGGTTTTTGTTTTGTTTTTGCACGATGTGGTTCTGTTGGTGTTTTTTGGCCATTTCCTTCAGCCAAGTGTGAGCCACTTAACTCTGAGAAATTTGAATTCCCCCACTTCAGGCAGAGTCTTGTTTATGAAAGATGGTAGGATGGATGTGTAGGGGTTAGTTACTTATATAAAATAAGTTCCCCTACATCTTGGTCTCCCCGTACGGGCCACCAATATGTAGGAATGAGTTCCTTCCTGGACGCCGAAAAGGGAAGACGGGCTGATTCTCTCCGGAGAACAGCCAGATGGATGGATGGATAGATGGTTGGTTTGTTAGTTGGTTGGATGGATGGGTGTATCGATGGTTGGATGGAGAGTTGGATGAATTAACAGATGGATGGATGGATTTGGTTTATTTACCAGAGCTCAGATGATGTCTTATCATGTCTGAGGATCATAAATGTTGGATGGATAGATGGATGGATGGATGGTTGGATGGATGGATGGATGCATAGATGGTTGGCTGTTTGGTTGGTTTGTTGGTTGGTTGGATGGATGGGTGTATTGATGGTTGGATGGAGAGATGGATGAATTAATGGACATGGACATGGACATGATGGACATCATCTGAGCTCTGGTAAATAAACCAAATCTATCCATCCGAGGATCATATAAGTTGAATGGATGGATGGATGGATGGATTGATTTGGTTTACTAACCAGAGCTCAGATGATGTCCATCACATCTGAAGATCATACATGATGGATTGATGGATGGATGGATGGATGGTTGGATGGATGGATAGATTCTTTTGGTAGATGGATAGATTTGGTTTATTAACCAGAGCTCAGATGAATTCCATCACATCTGAGGATCATACATGATGGTTGGATGGATGGATGGATGGATGGATGGATGGATGGATGGACTAATGGGTTGGTGGATGGGTGGATGGATGGATGGATGATGGTAAGATGGATAGATTTTTTTGGTAGATGGATAGATTTGGTTTCTTAACCAGAGCTCTGATGGTGTCCATCACGTCTGTGAGGATCATTAACTTTAATCATACATGATTTAAATCAACATATAAACTGAACCATCAACAGATGGTCTCAGATTTAAAATGACAGTCTAAACAGCATATTGTCTCTACATATAACATTCTTACTGTGTGATTTCACCTGGGAATAATTCAGGGTTGGACAGAGCCAGCAGCACAAACAAAGCCTGTGTTTCCCTCGGAGCCCTGAGGGCAGTTTATCAGCAGTGTGAGCAGCATCATCACCTTTCAGGAAATGACTGATCAAATGCTGCAGGAGCAGGCAGAAATCAGAGAGCAGGACTTCCAGCATCTGGGGCTCATTAGACATCCAGGAATTAGTAACACAGCCCAATGTTTAACAGGACGCAGTAGATCACAGGGAGTGTAGTAGATTTTGACGTAATGTCTCCTTAGAGGGACAAAGTTTCATAGGTCACCTGTCCGGGTCAGTACAGCAGACCAGTGGTTTTATTAAAAGTTGCCACCTGGCTGCTCTTACTTATCTTGTTTCCTCTTTTCTTCTCTCCAACTGCTTTTCTATCTTCATTTGTCTTCCTGGCTGCTCAGTCTTTACTCTTTTACCATTTTTTATACTTTATACTCTTTTTAAGTTCAGTTAGTTTCAGTTTATTTATATAGCACTAAGTATTTTCAGGGAAATAAACAATAATAAGTCATAATAAAAAATAAAAAGGCCATTCAAGACAGATTCAAATCTACAGTCAGTTCAATTTCTAATAAGATATAGTACATAAAGTATGTAAAAATACTGTAAAATTTAAGTATCTAAAGAAGTCAGCAGATTACATCAGATCTTCATTTTATAATGTCTCCCATTCCTGAGCAGTACATTGGTGACAGTGGAGAGGAAAACTCCCTTTTAACATGAAGAAACCTCCAACAGAACCAGAACCAGTCTCAGGACATCTGACCATCTGCCTCAACCAGCTGGGTTTGGGGGACAGGAAAGAGACACAAACAAACACAGAAGAACTGGTCCAGGTGTATTTTCTTCTGGAAGAGAGACAAAGAAAACACGATATTGATAGAAATAATTACAACWTCTAGAGGAGAGAGACTAAAGACAGCAGCAGAGTGAGGAAATGTGCTCAGTTTGTGCTCCAGCAGTCTAAGTCTATAGCAGCAGAACTAAGGAATGACTCTGGAAACCTAAGTATAATTATAGGATTTATCAAAAAGGAAAGTCTTCAGTCTAATCTTAAAAGTAGACAGAGTGTCAGCCTCACGGACAGAAACTGGAAGTTGGTTCCACAAGAGAGGAGCTTGATAACTGAAAGCTCTGCCTCCCATTCTACTTTTAGAAACTCAAGGAACCACAAGTAAACCTGCAGTCTGAGAGTGAAGTGCTCTGTTAGGAAACTATGGAACAATAAGATCTTTAATATAAGATGGAGCTTGTTCCTTTAACTTTTATCATAAAACTCGTGCATTTACCTTTAGCATCCTCAGATGTTTTTTTTTCCATTTCATTAAACCTTTCCTGGGTGGGCTTGTCTTTTCTTTTCTYTCTTATTCTCTCCTGAAACGCGTCATGGAACTGTCCACTTTTAATATCTCTTTTTTTGATTGTTAAGCTAAACAACATTTCAGATCCAGATCTACGTATGTATCATTTTTGTGGGGATGTTCCAAATAGTGTTAGCAGCAGATTTGGTGTTAAATATGTTCCTGTCTGTGTCTCTGCAGCTCTTTCATGTGGCCTACGTCTTGATTAAATTTGCCAACTCTCCTCGACCAGACCTGTGGGTCCTGGAGAGGTCCACGGACTTCGGACAGACCTACCAGCCCTGGCAGTACTTTGCCTGTGAGTATTTCATGTAAAACAGAAGGAAAAACGAGTAAAAAAAAAAACAATGTTCAGCTCTGTTCAGTTTCATGTAGGTTCTGCCTCAGGACAGTCATTATGTTTGTGTGTGTGTGTGTGTGTGTGCGTGTGTGCGTGCGTGCTTGTGTGTGTCATATCCTGAGGTTGTCGGCCAATTGGCTGTGGGAGCTGGGGGTTCAGGTGGGCTGTAGTGGAATTCAAACAATTCATGCCAACAGGTCACAGCTTGGAGATTACACAATCCAAAGGTTTAGGTGAAAACAGACAGATGGAGACAGACAGTTGGAGACAGACAGTTGGAGACAGACAGATGAAGACAGACAGTTGGAGACAGACAGATGGAGACAGACAGATGGAGACAGACAGATGAAGACAGACAGTTGGAGACAGACAGTTGGAGACAGACAGATTGAGACAGACAGATTGAGACAGACAGATGAAGACAGACAGATGAAGACAGACAGATTGAGACAGACAGGTGGAGACAGACAGGTGGAGACAGACAGTTGGAGACAGACAGTTGGAGACAGACAGGTGGAGACAGACAGGTGGAGACAGACAGATGAAGACAGACAGTTGGAGACAGACAGATGGAGACAGATGGATGGAGACAGACAGGTAGAAACAGACAGATGTAGACAGACAGTTGGAGACAGACAGTTGGAGACAGACAGATTGAGACAGACAGATTGAGACAGACAGTTGGAGACAGACAGGTGGAGACAGACAGGTGGAGACAGACAGATGGAGACAGACGGATGGAGACAGACAGGTGGAGACAGACAGGTGGAGACGGACAGACAGATGGAGACAGACAGGTGGAGACAGACAGATGTAGACAGACAGTTGGAGACAGACAGGTGGAGACAGACAGGTGGAGACAGACAGGTGGAGACAGACAGATGGAGACAGACAGTTGGAGACAGACAGAAGGTGGAGACAGACAGGTTGAGACAGACAGACAGGTAGAGACAGACAGTTGGAGACAGACAGTTGGAGACAGACAGGTGGTGACAGACGGATGGAGACAGACAGATGGAGACAGACAGATGGAGACAGACAGACAGACAGACAGACAGACAGACAGACAGACAGACAGACAGACAGACAGGTGGAGACGGACAGACAGATGGAGACGGACAGACAGATGGAGACAGACAGATGGAGACGGACTGACAGATGGAGACAGACAGATGGAGACAGACAGATGGAGACAGACAGGTAGAGACAGACAGACAGATGGAGACAGACGGACAGGTGGAGACAGACAGACAGGTGGAGACAGACAGACAGATGGAGACAGACAGACAGGTGGAGACAGACAGACAGGTGGAGACAGACAGGTGGAGACAGACGGACAGGTGGAGAATATGACCCATGTCTTTTCAGGATGTGGTACTGAATCAGATCCAGATCTGATGTTCTTCGAAGCGACCTCAGTCTGAACCCTCATGTCTCATTTTATTTGACCTACATCAGTGAGGTGGGGGTGAAGCATCAATAAAAACACTAATTTTGTGTCATGCTGGGTAACTCTTGTAGCTCCACAGCTCCAGCTACAGAASAGAAGTCCAGTTCTTTCATCTTTGTTCTTTTAATTTTCCATGTCCTGGATGACTGAGACTCTGAAAGATACTGTATTTTGTGACTGATAAACTGAAATTTAGATACAGCCTCATCTTATACTTTGTGATCAGTTTTAGTAATTTGCTTTAAAAGCTGATGGGATCAACAGATTTTTAGTTAACATGTGTCACCTTCTAAATTTGACATAAAAGGAAGCACCTCCAGAGGTGGAACCAGGTTTCCTATAAATACTCTGGTTTGGTAAGGACACGTAGTCTAGTAGGAAGGAGGGGGTCCCATGCACCCGAAAGATATATTTTTTAAATCTAACTTTTTGTAATCCTTAAGGTGTCTAGTAAATGGATTGTGTTGGCCCCAGAGCTAATTATTGTCCCAAATATGTTTTTATTGACCATCTTTAATAGCTGACCTAGATTTTCCATTGCGAATAATGAAAACTTTAAATCAGCATAGCTCCCGACAGACACCATTCACCCCATTTTATTTTTGTCTTCCATCCATCCATCCATCCATCCATTTTCTTCCGCCTATCCGGGGTCGGGTCGTGGGGGCAGCAGCTTCAGAAGGGAG